GCCTGTAGTGCAGGGCAAACTGCTGACGATTCAATACTGTTATCGGAGAAAACTATCAAGTACAGAATACTTCATCCGTCAACTGCGCTGGCTTCAATTTCGCGGCTAAAATCATCGGGGCGCACTGGTGCCCTGTGCCTGCAAGGAGTCTGTAGCCTACGCTAGAATTGATGTCCTATTGTCCTTGAACACATACGTGACTAGCACCAGGGGAATCTGCATTCCTTTTTAGGAAACGTTTGACTGCAGTAGCCAACTTCAACACCAACTGCTACAACAAGTACAACCAAACGCCGTCACGTCGACAGCGTCTAACAATCGCCACCCACAGCCATCGGCGCGCAGCCGTCAACCTCTCCCACGGGTTCGGGTGCACCAGGTGAAACCTCACAAGAAGTTTCATCAAGTCCGGCGGTACCAGCTGATTACGCTTTTTATCATTGCTCTAAAGATGGTGTTAGATATGGAAAAGATGCTATTATAGGTCATCCATCGATAAGCGCGCGCGGCGGTTTTACTTGATAAAAACAAAGAGGAGAACAGATAAAAAAGTAATGTTTTGGCTTCAAGTTAAATAAATCCCTCCTTCACCAATGACCCGGCTCCCAGTGCCCCGAAAGCCTTTGGACCTTGTTTTTTTCAAGAAATGTGGGTAAATTGCTGTTGATGATTTCGGCGAATGACAAAACGTTGTAAGCGCTTGCCGTCGGAGAGTACCCTCGACTGACCAGAACAGTTGGAATCGAACGGCTTTATGAGGGCGAATGGGGTGATTGAACCCAGGTCTCAGTATTGTTTGTGTCCCAGCACTGCCCTACAATACAGTTACTAGGGGTCTGGCACTATGACGAGCAACGGTGGCCTCCTTGTAGTTCTGTGATATCATCCATTTTGTCAATCTGATTGCCAAGAAACAAGCAATATACACCGACAGCCGACGATTTTATTCTCTGTATAGAGCCCCTTGAAAGCCCCAGTGTGGGAATCCTTTCGGCGTATGATGATCATCAGTATTGCGCGTCACGTAACTCTTCAATAGCAGGAACTGCAGGCGACTTCTCATCTGCATTCTTACAAAACTGACAATTGTGAGTTTTGGCTTGAGGTCCAAGACCACCCACATAGGGCCGGGAAGCGTCGTAGAGAGTGAGTGACATTCTCATGCTGGCAACATTACTGGTAGAGGCAACAGAATATTAGCTGGTGTGGCTTCTACAAGGATTAGGTACCCATCGCCGCACACAGCTCTTGCCTATCCTTCCAGTTTTATCGAACACAACTCGATGAGCAGTTGCAGCTGGGAGGTCAGTCCTCGCGGGGAAGTTCGACAAAGGTCCAGGCTCTGTGATCAGACATTCAGCGCTTGACTTCATCCACCCTTTTTTCTTGTGCAGGATGAACATTATGGGACCAGAAGGAAACAGGTGCTGACATTGAGTGAATTTTTTCCTTTCTTAGCCTTCTTCGGTTTCTGAACAAAGCTTTTTCACGCTTTGTGATTTCGAGAGCACATTTACTCGACTTACTGTCCGGCTCCGAATTCGATTTGAGGCATCGCATACTTACTTTCGCTCTTATGAGGTCTAATTTGAAAATCGGCCTGTTTTTGCAGCAACCCTCGAGCTTTTTCAATTTCTCGAGAGCTTCTCTGTGGGTAGGTTCACACAAATTTGCGACTGATAGAACAGGCTGAAGGTACTAACCTTTAATGGTATAGTAGCCCGTCTGTGCCTATCTCTTTGCTTATTCTGCCATTCGCCACTAACAGTGTCCTGGTTAATTTTGAAATGGATGACGCTAATAATAAAATTATGCGTGACCCACAACCTGTGAGCCAACCTAAAGGTGTTTCCTCGCGTAGGGAGTGTAGAAGTGAATTTATCTTTTTTATTTTTCTTTTTTAAATTTTTTGCAAGCGAACCCATCAAAAAGGAGTGTGCCCGAGCACCGAATGCTAATCGCATCGTGTTGATCATAACAAAAGTTGAAGAGAATAAGGAAGAAAAACAGAGCAACAGACTAACAGGAAAACAGGAAAGTACAACTTCGCTGCAAGAATAGAAAGGGATTAATTGGTGGGATGGCTGAAAGCAAAGGAAGAATGGGTACGTGGCGAGTATTATCCCATCTGGCGAGAACACACAGGAGCAATGAGTAGGTTGTAGGTGACAAAATCAGCTTCACGTGTCATGTTTCTTGTTGCTCCATTCCCCTAGTACGGTAGAACGATACTATTTTATAGATTCGACTGTAAATCACCTGGGAATAATCATCCGGCTACGGTTCAAAAGAAAGTCGAAGAGAAATGAACCGTAGCCGAGCGGTCGAAGTGTCTCTCAAAAACGTCAACGACGATTTTGAAAGAGCCCTGAGAACATAGCGTATTACAAAGGAACTGATATGGTACAAGTCACTGTCTCCGGAGAGGGCATGACTTTCTGTGGACAGAGTTTACTTCATTCTGCGAACAGAAAAGATTACCCAGGTTGTAGGAATGATACTATTGTGAGGTTAAAGGGTTCCCAAGTTTCAACGTTAACTGGCCGTCCCTTTTAGTGGCACAAATCGGGCAGGGAGTATCGCGCTTGCTCCGTTTGCATATTATATTTTAGCCCCGCTTCTTCAGTTGTGGAGCTCCATCGGTCGTACACGTTACTCTCATTGAATCGGCATTATATGGAGGCTTTGCCATATGGCAGATGGGAAAATGCTGCGGGCTATCCTGAAGGGCCAATTCGCGGTATGGTGAAGCAATGAAACGTCATGATAACCGATAGAAGAAACTTTGCTCACCAACGCTCAGCAATCCGCGTTTTGAAATCTTAAACAGGTCATAAAGAAGTTCTAGTTCTATTGGAAGCGCTTTTTGTCCCGTTCTCTTTTGCTTTTTTCAACTGGGAAAGGCAACTGAGGCCTTCGTTCATTTTTTTTTTTTTGTTTGAAACTCACCTGTACGTACTACTTAGGGCCTAACTTCTACAGTGCTTCAATCTGTCGTCTCCTTGGAAGTGAATGGCACGACAGCCTAAGGTGTAGATCCGACTTAAAAGATATAATGCGAAGGATCGGGGCAAAGAAAGAAGTGAGGTAGAAGCACAGGTGAGAAATGGTAGAAAAGTACGAAAGTGGACAAGACCCTTGAGCGCAATCTTTGGCCTATGGAGCAGTTTTTCGGCACTAATAGAAGAAGTTAATTGTACTCAGCGGACTCAGCAGCGTCTCGTTTGTCGAATAATGCTTTATTGTGAGTTATTTGTGCTCTTTGATTCATTTCATGCCACTGTCAAGACGTTTTAGGACCGTGAAGTGATTCACTGGCTTTGGGGTAGGGGGGAGGGGGTGGCAGATGTTCTCTTGGTGGTTAGCTTGGAGGTTCCTCTTTCTTCGCGAGCTAATACAGATATTAGTGAGTTGACTTATTTCTCGAAGTTTTCGTTTTTCTTATCTTCTAACAATAAAGGGAGGTCTTTCAAGTCTACCTTGTAAGTAGGCATAAGGCACCTAACTGTTTTTTTTGTTTTTTTGTTTGCGTTGTTTGTTTTTTTTTGTGTTGGTGTTGCAGCGTAAAATTTATTGCTTACGTGACACAAGCGAGACTACTGCTTAGAATTTGGTTAAGAACTTATGTTTGTTAACTCATCAGTAGGCCGAGGCGGCGGTTTGCTTGAGGGGAGGGGTAGGGGGACGTTTTTGGGTACTTTCTGTTGGCTTGTTACTAGTTCTGGTTATACATGTACTCTTTGGTAAAGCCCTGTGCAACTCTTGTGAAGATGGAGACAAGTCTGGCGTCAAGTCATCATGGTAAAACCCGTCAACTCAAGAAGAGGCTGTCTAGATGGGTGAACACGTCGATGGGAAGTCGCCGAAATGTAAAATGCCCCCCCCCCCGTGCCAACAGGCGGCCGGCGTAGGTCTCTAGGTCAAACATCTCATTACAAGAAACCTTAGTTGGAAGAAACCTTGGGGGCAGTTCGGCGAGGGTGAGGGGAGCATTTCGCACTTTCGCTGCTTCTCACTGATGTGTCGACCCATCTAGGGAGCCATTTCTGAGCTTACACAGTGTGGACAGTTGTACGAAGCGAGGCGGTTTCAGGAGCTTGCTCCAGTTTCGGCAAAAGTTTTATAGGTTTTTTATGCAGCGTGCGCACTTTGTACACCGGAACCTACTACTAGCGAAAGTGCAACAATGCCCCGTAGCCGACTGCGGCCGAACACCTATAGTTCGTCACCCGTGGAAGGCAGTAGTTTACTTGACTAAGAGAGCACAGAACCTACTTCAGTATTGAGCCTGTGCTCTCTCATATCATCCGATGAAGATTAAGGTGGACAGATTCCCAGCTACAGATAATGTTTTTCAGAAGATCACCAGTGACTTCTGCTGAAATCACTCTAACCACCCTGCAAAATTCTGCGGAACCCGACCCACTGTACTGTGAGCTTCATAGCCGTCTAATTTATTTCTCTGGAATATTCCCGCGAAGCATGCAACATTATTTCGAGGGCAAGTGGAAATCTATCAGTTCATCAGACTTCCAGAAATGCTCAGTCAGTAGATAAGTAGAAGAATATCCGCTGTCCATTAACTGATTGCTTGTCATCGGCTAATCGTCTTTAAGGCACGGCTAATACCTCATGTGACGCACTGCTTACAATGTCAATTTTGTTTAATTTGGTCAGTCGAGGTGGCTAACACCCCTTTAGTCACCTAGCAATGGTGTGCAGGCTAGGGTCAGAGTATTGCCTGTGTTTTTTCTTCTGGGGCTTATTGGGATACCTTCATGGCGCTTGTTCAAGTGTGAGGGCTTCAGACGTTCAGAAACGTAGCATATTCCATTATTCACATTATTTTTCACACTCTCCCACTACGATCCTACAGATAATGTTTTTTCCTTCTCCTGAAGAATTTTTAAAATCGCTACTTAGGCAAAATGCACATATCGCCGATCATTCAAAAAGCAGCTAAATGCCTATTCATTTCTTTTATGATGCTGTGAAAATGCATGAGCATGTAATTTTAATCTTACGATCGCGTGGTGAAAAAATATAAAATCTTCTAATATCCTTGACCCCTTTGTTGAAGGTCTGGTATTAGCATTCTCTTCTCATGTCTGGATAGTCTTGAACCTAACCATGAGGTGAGTCAAGAAACATATTGCCTCACAAGTACAACAGTAGCACTAAACAGTACACTAAAGTTCAATGCCCTGGCTCGTTAGCCTGTACAGGCTCTACCAGGGTATGGCAGTGTATACTATACTGTCGTATAATATACTACACGATATTAAAAAATAAACGAGGAAGTCTTTGCCAGGGACCGATCCCTTTGTGCGAGCGCGGGCAGCCGCTATTCTTTAACTTCAAGCATATTTCGATTATTGAATGGGATATGCCCTATACAATGACTTGCAGGGGCCAGCCGATGTACAAGTCAGTGTCTTATTCTCCTAGACGAGTCTGGTATTACCGTCCCCAGAGGGTAGAGGGCTCTGTTGGCTTGCGCGAGAGCCGATCCGTGATTCGCACCCGAGACCGCGCCACTTGTCGTTATGTACACCACCTTTGGGCCTCAAATCTATGGTATTAACTATACTATATTTCTATACTATACTATGATATGTCTAACTTACTTACGAACACACATTCTCTGAACATATGGCGTGCTTTTATTTTCTCTACATTACATTTACCATTTCCATGCTTTATCATATACATCATAAATTTTTCATTTAATATATTACTTCCACTCATAATTCTTTTTATGGGCTAGGGCGTCTGGGGCCGAACTGCGTCTATTACTCTCGTGTGGATCACCAATTTTCTGTCTGCTTTTAGGTTCGTGTTGGCCATATTGGAGCAGTGGGTTATATGAAAAATGGTGAGAAAATTCTTGAGATCTCCAGAACTAACTATGGAAGGACGGCATATTGGACGAGGATTTCGACATTGAGTGAGTGCTTTTTCCTCTCCTAACTGTTCCTATCTGCAAATCGTAATCAGTACTCACTTCCCATGTTGTAGATATCTATCCTTATTACAGACGTATTCCAGAAATGCTTAGTCAGCCTAAGACCACTCAATTTTTAGCAGCTTCTTGAGCGAGCTTAGGTGGATCAAATCCGCACCATATCACACTTCGTTACGTGCCGCATTTTCTAAATTTACAGCGGCGAAAATCCAAATTCCCTCTGACACCAGTGTACAACGGGGAATTATGAGCTCTTCCGATGACGCATTGTATGACGCTTGCGCCTGTGACTCCAGAAATATCTCTCGAAAAGCTTATGTAGCAAGTGTATCCTTTTGATTCTCTTCCAGGAGACTTTGTGTTGCTGTTTCTATGGAGTTAATCCTGGTATGGCAGTCAAAGTCGTGTCAGTGCAAATCCGCAAGTGCAGCAAGACATACTTGACACGCTTGACAGGGGCAGCACTATGGCAACTCTTTTTTAGGGAAGCAACTCAAACCTGTTTGAAGACACGTTCCGCGTTGATCATGTAGGCTGAGACAAGCCCACGCTGTGTTCGCTATCGATGCTCGCCGGTGCTGTTATGTTATTGTGGAAGATATAAGTAGTTCTCACAGCGCCCATACAGTCAACGTCCAAAGGACAAAAGAGTTCTAACGTGCAGCTGCGCCGGTACTTTTCTTTCTGCAGAGGAAGGGAAAAGGTTCAGGCTGGAAGTTCCTGAACTGGGATCGTACGACTACCAATGGCCACTACTGATCCAAGCACCCTAACTCATAAAATTACATATCGCATCTGCTCTGACAATGAGCTACCTGGGATTTTCATTTCACTGAAATTATTTTAAAATATATTTTTAGCATTATCAATCAAATGGGCTGCGGTGAAGCGTTCGAAGGTGTGGCCGTCGGAGCGGACATGTACCACGTGCAAAAAGTTCGCGCCTTCATTGGTCCCTACTGTAACGCCGGTGAGTCAATCAGTCGCTTGGGTCTTCGGCACCCTGCCCTTCAACTGCCGAATCTTGTTCTGATATCGCCCAGAAACCCAGACGCGTTTGTCCCTCAATAACGTCATACAACTCTCCTACTTAAGTGCCTTTCAGAATTGGACGCGGTAGCGAAAATGGCAACCTTCTGGAACATTCCTGTTGTTGGTTACATGGCCTCGTCGAACGCATTTGCCGACAAATCCATCTATAGGACCCTGGCTCGTGTTTCACTGAGGACAACGAACTCTTTGGCTGAAGCTGTCGCTGCTATTCTCAATCATTACAATTGGAAAAGGGTACTTATCTTTTTTATTACAATATCTTATCGAAATTATTACTTGTTTCGATATTTTGTGAGGTCAAATCAAAAATCATGCTGTTTAGGTTGCAATCGCTACGAACACCGGCGTGGTGGCTTTCGAACGAGTTTCGGCTTTTGAAGAAGTTTTGCACATGAGGAATATTCGAATAACTAAAAAGGCAATTTTTACGTCGGCTTGGAAGAGTCCGTGTCTATTTCGAGCGGGGCTTCTGAAATGGGGCTAAAGCTCTCTTGTTGGGCAACTATCTTCGGAAATCCTTTTATGGCTGCATCAATATGACTGAATGACATTAACAATAGGTGATTTTTGTCTATTTTTCAGGTGATGTTCGATGAGTACGCTGATGCTAAAACCATGGAACAAAGTGGTCTACTCAATGAGCTGTCGAACAATGCTCGAGGTGACGCGCTACTCTCTTTCACCTGAATTGAGCGTCGATCACAATCAGGAGGAGGGGGGGGGGGGTGGCAGGTGCTGCCTAGTTTTACCCCTTTGTCTTTCTGTTCACACCATATGCTAGATCTTGCCCATGCCCATTTCTTTGCGAGTATGGCATTTCGTGACAGCTCTCGCAGATCAAACTGATCATTTCTCCCCGTTGTACCTTTCCAATTTTATTTTCCTTTTGAGAAACTGTAAGACCTGCAAAGATGGGGGCCAAAAGTGACGGACACATAACCCAGCTAGTAAACGGTCAAAGACTAAGTACCTTGTCACTGGTTTCTTATAATAAACCATTTTTCAGTGATTATCTGTATCTTTTCGTCGACACGTGAAATGTCCAAGGAATTCATGAGAGCGGCTTTCAACAGCAAGTTGAACACGCATGATTATGTCTACATTCTTCCGTGGTTACAGGTACGATAGGCTTTATGCGACGGGATACAGTACGCTATTGTAGCGTGGGAGAATCATGTGGGTTTTTCCAGTCTGAAAAGAAGGATCTGGCGCCATGGATTGGAGAGGACGGGCAGATTCAGCAGAATATCAAGGATCACTTCGCGAATTCACTCATTGTGAAGTGGGAACTTTTGCACTTTCAAGCACTAGACCAGGCCCTGAAAGCTAACTCCTTCACCAGGGTGTACGTGAGAGTCAGCCTACATTCACTACCGACATGGAATAATCTTTAGACTATGATTCAATCTGTTTATTCAGATTGACGACGTGAACGGATTTGATGACACACTTGTGACGCCATTTCGCGAGCGTGTGGAGGCAAACGGAATGACTACTGACGATTTGGACTTGGTAAGCGACCTCTTAACTAATTGAAATACGAAAAAGCGATTGCGCTAGGGGTTAGCGTAGCGCATGGTTGTTTACCGGAGAGCTGTTTGAGCCAAATCTGACAGCTGGCCGCTTGTAGGCCACTCCTTGGCGCTACATCCGTTCGCACAAGCTCCATGCTCAGAGACATATAGAAAAGATAAGTTTCCTTTCAGGCAAACATCTATGGCTACATCCACCTATACGATGCACTTGCGACTCTATGCGATGCTGTTCGCACAGCGATGAATCGAACAGGAAATCCGGACATCTATCAGGATGGACGATACATATGGAATCAGATGAGACGTATCACCTTCCCAGGTGAGACCAAATGACATATTGGAGATGAAAGATGACTTGGAGAATTTCGGAGCACTAAGTTAACGTTTGTACCGAAGACTGACTAGTGACTGTTCAGGTCTTGTCTCGGCTGCTGGTGTAAGTTCTGGGACCGTCATGATGGACGATATTGCTGAACGTGCCCCAATTTATGCAGGTGAGCCTTGAAAAACTTTATAATTTTGAACTCTGAGGGCAGACTACAGGCATGACGAGGTGCCCTGGATGCGGACTTGGCTGGATACCTGCATCCTACTCCGGATGACTTCGCCTAACGCCATGTCCTTCTTCGAGAGCATAGCCAAATGGGCAAAAACTCATACAGTGACGCTTTCCACATTGATCCGTCCCCTTTCTCATTCTTTTGAGAGGAGAGGTTCACGAGAGGAGGGACAGGAGGGCAAGTGATCTCCAACAGCCTGACTGTCGAGAATGTGTCCAGAGCAGTTACAGTAAATCCTAAAAAAACATTCCTATCTCCGCATTTCAGCTTTCCATGTGCCGGCTAACAGCGAAACAGTAAGAAAGGTAAACGAGATCGAACCAAAGTTAATCAGCAACTGTGATGGCCTGAAAACAAAGACCGGCTGCTTTGACCTGGTGAGTAAGCTCTTCGATGCCACAGGCCCTACATACTGAATAGTTGTCTTGCAGCAAATCACAGACGTAATGACGGGATTCTGGCCCTCACCGGACGGAGCCATGCCGAAAGAGGAGCCGGCATGTGGTTTTCGTAATGAGCGCTGCGACTACACGATGATTATCATTGCCGGTGTAATACTGACAGTACTACTCTGCAGTGTTGTGATCACTCTCATCATGATTCGAGTGTGGTACGTCCTGCAGTACTCCTGTAGTGGAAACTTCTCTATCTAGTTTTCGTTCTCTTCCACGATCCGGGACGATGAGTTCTTTTCTGCTTAGAGGAGACACTTAGGGATTGAGGAGGGTCGGATCATAGAGGAGATATTGCACCTTAGAGGCAAGTGTGCAGACATAGTGCTAGGATTGGCTGCTCTTTGGGAAATCGGGAAATCATCCCCAGCTGCTTAATTGCTCAGAGTTTCTCGTCCACTGACTGCCACCCATTACCTTTCAGTCCGAAAATTCATGTAGGCATCATAATTCCTGAATACCCGAAAAGCCCTTGAGCCTTTGCCCTTTGCCGAGCCGAGCTCGCCCAGGAAGGGTAAGTAAGAAAAGCAAGAAAGTAGGAAAGAAAAAAGTAATTAAATGAATCATCAATTGATCAGTAGAGTCACGTTCCGCAATAAGCGGACAAGCGGAGACCCATAGCTATCTTACCTTCTTCATGAGTGAGCGCCTCCGTTATGATACAAACAGAAAGGGTCCATTAATAGGAGAGGTATAATTTTTTATGTGTTTGCCCATCCGACTGCAGAATATGGCAGTAGACCGAGTTAAGGGGCAGACTTTGCGCAAATCATTGGGACGAAACCATTGCGAGATCAGCACACATGTCTAAACGCTATAGACTGTATTGTTCTGTATTGTTCCGTATTGTTCTGTACTGTTCATCAGCACGTTTCAGTGAGAACCGTTCATTGGCAAGAATGCCGTGGAGAATTTACCGGGATGATTTTAGAGTGATTAACGAGGACGAAGTTAAGTCTATGGTAAGTTACAATAATGATTTTGGGGTCTTTTAGCCTAGGGACATACAGTCCTCATCATTGCGGACCGGTGGGGCGTGTCAGCCAGTATGAGTGTGCACACTGTTGAAGCCGTTCTCAGCCTTTTGTTGAAACGCGTATGCGACAAAAAGTGGTAGAAAACGAGTAATACGAAGGATATAATACAGTAATGTCACTTGCCCGCTTCAACAACTGGTGCAGAACGACTTTGGCCCCGCGCCAAACGCAGCCGCACTGAACCGCCCCGACAGTACGTATTGATGAGGACTGTATCTGAACATCAGGACACCAAAAGAGAGAAAATAGGACGACGGTATTAGGTGATTACTGTCTGTAGTGCTTATTGAATGTAGGTCTTGGGGGCAGCGCCATTGTAGTAGCCACTGAAAGACACGCCGCATTATTTATCGATCGATTATTTCAGCTATCGATTGGATCGACGTCTACAAAGCTGTCGAATTCGACGTCATTCGCCAAGCACCATGCCGTGCTTGGTACAAACACTCATGCCTCATTTCATGTCTATCCCCAACGACGTCCAATTACTTTCAATCGCGTTGACATGCAGTTGCTGACATTGGTACGGTAATTTACCGTAATTCATCTTTATTTTTATTTATTAATCTTTTGTGGCAAGTTATAACAGTCGCATATACAGGGGGGGGGCAAAAAAAAGTCATTCCGGCCGAGTCACATATGAGCGAAGTTTTCGCAGCCCAGACAGAGGAAGTGGATATGAGTACCAGGGCGGAAGATACCCAAGAAAGTTCTTCCTTTATAAAGCGAGCGAGCCGCGAACTGCCGTCATTCACCTTCATGTACACCAAAATATGAAGTCTCTCCAGTCGCGGACTGAGTGGAGAACGCCTTTGGAATTCACGCCTCCAAACAGCTGCGAAACTTCTTGAATGGAATCACCCATGGATAGCTACCTGGAGACCAGTACTCTTGATCTGCAAGACCTCAAACATCGAGCAGCTCCGGCAACGTCGCTACGGTCCAGGACATCATCTTCACCCCATTCACCAAGGCGCGGGTTGATGGTGTGGACCGGCCGTACCTGGAATGGATGAACCGATATTTTCTTCGTGGGCCCCAGACTGGGGTGTGCGCTGGTGGCTACATCGAGCAACTCGAGGAGAATATCCCATCTTCATGTCGTCGCCCGTACCTTCTTGGAAACTTTGTACTGCTACAGGATTGGGTGACAACACATCGAAGGGCGTTTGGAAAAACTTTCGCCTACTTGGAATGGAAGAACGTTGAGTACCTGGAAAAGATGGAGTATTTAAGCGGGGGTCCTGAACTAAACCCCCTCAATTACTCGGTTCGGGGCGGAGCTCAATAGGGTGGTCTACAGTGGCGGGAGAAAGAAATCAACAGATCTCGCTCAACTTCGGTACCCCCCACTCACTTTTCGCGCGCGGCCGAATCTCTCGATGGCGCTCCTCCAGAAGGCTGTGGCGGAGTATCATTATAGTATTTAATGTGCTCTTTAATATGGTAGTAAAAATGTCCGATAAAAATTTAATAAAGTGTAACTTATAGCGCCTTGAAAGTCATGGAGGCAAAATGACTTTTTTTTGGCCCCCCCTGTATATATAAAACCAATACGGTTCACAGGATGACAACAGCGGACAAACAGGAGAAATAAAAGGGAAAGAGGAAAAAATCTCCGCAACTCAATATGCACGTGAAAATAAAAGGTTCATCGTAGTTCCACAAGCAATTGACGCAAGCATTGGGAATGGGAAGGAGAAGTGAAGGGAAGGGCAGTGGGCGGCCAGCACTGCAAATTGCTGAAGGTGCAGCTCTGGATACCAACTTAGTAGGTCCGCCAACCCTCCCAAGTCCACGCGTAACTGTAGCAAGGGGGACAGAGTGTCCGGGGGCAAGAAAAACACATTTCGTTTATATATACAATCAATTGGTCCACGTAGGAGAGATATGAGAGCATTGAAGGAACAGAAGCGTACATATACATTTCATTCATCTATCATACAACCGTGGAAACGCCACAACTCTCTCTACTCGTAAGCGATAGGAAAACAGTAAGATGTCACAGGGCAATCTAGCAAAGGGACTATGTGGAGAGGCAGGCAGACAGCTGAAGTGTATAGTCCTATCATTGCGGACTGTCGGAAGCGGCGTGAGCGGCGCGGTTCGACTCCGCATTCGGCTTCCTTGCTTGACCAATGGCGATCGGATAGGAAAGGATCGTATCAAGGAAGGAAACAAGCAATGATTGAAAGGCCGTAGTGAGAACCACTGACTGCCACCCGACAATTGCGGTGATAATAGGTGTAGTTGCAATTGTAATCACATTACATTGCGCTGTAAAACAACTCTGACAAAAAATGACTCTGAAATCTAAGGTAATCTGAAGCCGCAGTGATTAAGGTGATGCTTCCAGATGAAGCAGTCTATCCATGACAACCTAAATCCGTTCCTTGGCATGTCGTTCAATGAGAAAGAGGAAATGGTACTGCTATGGAAGTTTTGTTCCCGTGGTACTGTACAGGTACGATTGACAACTTCTTTCACTACACTTCTACTGCGAAGGGGCTGATCTGCCTGTGATGAAAGTGAGCTGAACCTCATTTAGGATATCATATACAACAAAGAGATGGTACTGGATGCGAAGTTCCACGGCGCTTTCATCAGAGACATTACACTGGTGAGTAGAATTATTGGGAATGTCAACCAATTTCATCGTGAAAGAACTTTGATTGAGGAGCAGTGTTATAGGGTCTGGAATATCTTCACTCGTCTCAAATCGGCTTTCACGGTTCACTTACCCCATGGGCTTGTCTCATCGATCGGAACTGGATGGTTAAACTGACAGACTTTGGTAGGTGTCATGAAACTGACGTGGGTTACTAACCGCAGTAGGCCATACTACTCCCCATACCCAAATATAGGCCCCTAAGGGATTTGGATTCGTAAGTATATCATGTTAGGTTGTCCCAAAAGTTCGTGGACACTTTCAAACTTTTTTCGAATTAAGTTTATTCCAGTGGAAG